CATTTCAGGACAGATGCAAAGATTACTAGCAGACATTTAAAAGGCTTCATTCCCCTTCTTTTTTCTTTTTCTTTTTCTTTTTCATTTTGCAGTGCTGGAATTGAACCTTGGGCCTTCTATATGCTAAGCAAGAACTCTACAGCTTAGCCATAGCACCAGCCCTTTTTACTTTTTAGGTTTTGAGATAGGGTCTTAGTAATTTTCCCAGGCTGGCTTTAAACTTCCAATCCTCATGCCTCAGCCTCCCAGGTAACTAGGATTATAGGTGTGGACCACAACTTCCTTCCCCTCTTTGATATCATCTAAAATTGTGGGAAGAAAATCAGGAAAGAGTGGGAGTGGTGGTGCACGCCTGTAATCCCAGCACTCAGGAAGCTGAGGCAGGAGAATTGCTGTGAGTTAGAGGCCAGTCTGGGCTACATAGTGAGTGAGTTTAAAGCCAGCCTGAACTACATAGCAAGACCCTGTCTCAAAAAACCAAAATGAATTAAAAACTAAAATCAGGAGGGCCAAGGATTTAGCTCAGTGGTTCCGCCACCTGCCTTGAAAGTGCAAGGTCCTAAGTTCAATCCCTGGTACCAAAAAAAATAATAATAATAAAATCAGGAAAGGGCCTGATCTACAGTGAGTGATGATCACTACTATTGCTTCTGCAGCTGCAGGTGTGTCCCTGTGGCTCCAGAGGCAGTTAACAATGCTCTCTGGAGTGGACCTCTCCACTGACTCCACAGAAGCTTGCAGTGTTCTCAAACTGCAGTGTTATGTTGGCCTCCACATGGGACTCGCAGAAGGCTATATTCAGGGCAGTGCACAAAAGTGGGGCACCAGTCTCAGACACTCTCAAACTACCTATCTCTCCCCTTAAATTTTCTTTCATCTTTTTTGTTTGTTTTTTGAGACAGGGTCTCGTTATTGTAGTTCAGGCTGGCCTGGAACTCACTATGTAGCCCAGGCTGGCCTGGAACTCACAGTAATCCTCCTGCCTCAGCCCCCTGAATAGCTGAGATTACATATGTGTAACATAAGTTCAGCTCCAATTTCAATTTTATCTTCACTATACATGAAGTAGTACAAGAAAGTTTAAACTTTAATATGTTGTTTAAAAAATTTTTTTTACTTTTCAGTTCTAGCACTTACCTAGTAATTTATGTAAAAGCCTTAATGCTCAATTTCCTCAGTATCTATTAATCTCTGACCATGTCAAATAATGAAATTAGTAACACTATTGTGAAGTATATCGTATTTGGTCTTCCAATTTCCTGACATGTACCTTCTGAAACCTTTGGAATCTTTTTTTTTTTTTTTTGGATAAGGTTTCACTATGTATTTCAGGCTGGCCTTGAACTCATGGCATTCCTCCTGCCTCAGAATCCAAGTGCTGTGAAAAGACCAAGGCACAATTACAGAGTTGGGACTTTCAGCCCCAACCCTCAATCTCGGAGAAGGGGAGATGGTGCGGAGAGCTAAGCTAATCACTAATGACCAATGACATACTCAACCACACTTACTTAATGAAACTTCTGTAAAACCCCAAAAGGACAAGGTATGGAGAATTTCTGGTCAGCTCAGAATGCGAAAGTGCCCAGGGAGGAATCTCCGCATGCCCCTTCCCATTCGTCTCACCCCATGTATCTCCTCCACTGACAGTTCATCTGTATCCTCTGTAGCACCAAAAAACAAGTTAACAAAGAGTTGGGTGTGGTGGCGGAGGCCTGTAATCCTAGCACTTAGTGGGGCTGAGGCAGGAGGATTACTGCAAGTTCAAGGCCAACCTCAGCTATATAGTGAGTTCAGGATCAGCCTGAACTTTCCCTCAAAAAACCAAAACAAACAAGTTTACACAAGTGTTTCCCTGAGTTCTGTGAAGCACTCTAGTAAATTAAGTGAACCCAAGGAAGGTTTCTTGGGAACCCCACATTTATAGCTGAGTCAGAAGTACAGGTGATAATCTACTACTTGTGATTGGGGATCCAAAGTGAGAGGTGGGATGGTCTCAGGAAACTAAATCATCACCCAGTGGGATCTGATGCTGTCTACCCAGTGGGATCTGATGCTGTCTCCAAGGAGACAGCATCAGAACTGAGTTGAACTGGAGGCCATCCAGCTGCTAGCTACTGGAGAAGTGCCTGGACCTGAGATACCTGGCCTGAGAAGGGCTCAGAGAGCAGGAGAAACACTTTGGTTTGATTTTTTCCTCTCTCTTTGTATTAGTCTTTTTCTTAACCTTTTTCTTCCTTATCCATCCAAGTTTCGTTAAATATATTTGTGTCTTTATTACTTGATTTTTGGGTGTTTTAAATGGCATTTTTATGATATGCTATCTTCTGGTTAATAAAGATAAAGAAAACAATTTCTCATATTGCCTCTTCTTTCTCTTACCAACTTTTGTTAGCTATGTTGTTTGTATAAACAAAGTTAATACACTTACACTCTTTTGTACCACCATAATTCTCACAAATGCTTTAGTTTTAGTCTGTAATCAAAGATCTATGCTCGGTGCTAGTCCTTTCACTATAACCTTTCCAGTCATATCTTGATGGCTGGAATCTGTCCTCTATTAGGTTTCTTTAGAAGCTCCTGAGAACTATGGATCCCACACTTACAAATTCAAAATGTTTGGCTAGGGTTGTAGCTCAGTAGTAAAGCATTTGCCAAGCATGTACAAAGCTGGGTTCATCCTCAGTAACATACACACACACATACATAGGTTGGTGAGTTGAGTGTGGTGGCAGTCTTGTAATCTCAGCACTCAGGAGGCTGAGGCAGGAGAATCTCAAGTGTGAGGCCAGTGTAGGCTACATATTGAGTACAAGTCCAGCCTGGATTACACAGCAAGACCTTGCCTCATTAAAAAAAAAAAAAAAAAGTTTGTTGCCTTTATAACTTGAATCATAATATAAAATTTTGAGGTTATTTCTGTTTGTTTGTTTTTCGGTACTGGGGATCGAACTTGGGCCCTTGCGATTGTGCAGCAGGTGGCAAAACCACTGAGCTAAATCCCCAGCCCTTGAGGTTACTTTTTTAAAGGATATATTATAGGTACTGCTTTAGTTGTTTTCTGATGAGAAAATCTATAGCCAGCTTGAATTTTCCCCTTTAACTACCAAAGCTTTTTTTTTTTTTTTTTTTTTGAGATAGGGCCTCACTTTGTATCCCAGGCTGGCTTTGAACTTGCAGCAATACTCCTGCCTCAACTTCCCAAGTGCGGGGATTACAGGTATGTATCACCATGCCCAGCTCTACCAAAGTATTTTAAATTTCTTGTTTGGTTGGTTGGTGTTTTTTTTTTAATCCTAGTACTGTAACTTTACCAGGATATGTCCCAGTATTGACCATCCTGGGACAATTTTCTGAGGCACAGTATGCCTTTTTCAGTACTTAGATTTATTTATTTATTTATTTATTTATTGGTATGAGATCGAACTCCGGACCTTGAGCTTGCGAAGCAGGCAGTGGAACCACTGAGCTAAATGCCTGGCCTTCAGTACTTAGATTTAAACTTTTTATTATTTCAGGGAAATACAAGTTTTGAAATTGTATCATTTCATTTTCTGCTTATCCTTTTATTTTTACTCTGCGCATTCAAAGGACCTAGAACCAGTGTCCCACAGTATCATGCAACATGTAGTGCATAAGATCATGAACTCTGAACGTTATTACTCACTAAAATAAACATGAATGCCTTAGAGTAACTACTGGCTCCAAGTTTGAGGCAGAAAATATTCAAGATAATCCTGGAATATCCTATGTTAAGGGGAGGGGGGAGGGGGAAGAGAAGGGGAGAGAGAGAGACTGATATTTAATTTTCTTTGTGCCTCTCCCAATGGATCCTCATGAAAAATGATAGTAACATATTCTAGGGTACCCTGTTCTACATAGGAAGTACAAAGTTAAAGTGACATATCACAGAGGTTACAGCAGGTAAAGATTTACCAATTTTTAAAACCCAAACACATCTGAATACTCAAGTCTGTGATTATGCACATCCATCCATGTCCACTGAATGACACTACTGAGGTGCTTAAGCACAGTACTTATTTCTATAGTTTTAGTTTTTTGGGGGTTTTTTTGGTACCGGGGATTGAACTCGGGTCCTTGCGCTTGCGCAGCAGGCGGCAAAACCACTGAGCTAAATCCCCGGCCCCAGTTTTAGTTTTGTTTGTTGCTTCTTATTGCAAATTGCTTCCCTCACCTGAAAATTTTTTCCAAAGTTCAGATGAACAATTAATGTCTGAGGAGTTGGCAAATTATAGCCTGGGATGGGCCACATTATTTTTGTAAACAAGGTTTCCTAGGAACACAGACACACCCACAAGTTTAAGCATTGTCTAGGCTACAATGTGCTACAATGGCATTGCCAAATAGTTCCAACAGACACATATGGCACACAAAGCCAAAAATACTGCTCTCTAGGCCTCTACAAAACAAGTTTGCCACTCCCATTGTAATTCTTTTCTTTTGGTATAGGGGATCAAACTCGGGACCTTCCGCTGGCAGGCGGTGCACCACTGAGGTAAATCCCCAGCCCTCCTGTTGTAATTCTTGATTCCCGTCAGCCATATCTCATCTTTTTATCTTTTACACCAAAACAAGCAAAACAAGCAAAAAACACCTTCTGCCTTGTAAAGTCCAGTCCAACAGAAAGGTGAAAGCTTACATCCAAGGCCAGGTAAGGAGGTCTTGGTTTTGCCTCAGGTGAGGTTTCTTCACCAAAAGTGGAAGGGGAATTCAGGACAATAATCTAAGAAGAAATTCCTCTATTCATTGACTAAAGCAAACTAAAATATACCTTGCTTTTCTTCAAATTAAATCTCTAGTGTTTGTGCGTGTGTGTGTGCATGTGTGTGACAGGGTCTCACTCTGTAATCCAGGCTGGACTTGAACACTCTGTAGCCTAGGATGGCCTTGAACTGCCTCAGGAGTGTGCCACCACACCTGGCTTTAGTGTGTAACTGAGCTGGCTGTACTATTTTTAAGTTAAACACTGTTTGGCTCCTTACTTCTGAAAGCAAGTTCTCGAGTGACATAGGATCCATCTTGCTGTAGACATTCCATAGATTCAAACTCACATCCTGCAGCTGCAACAAAGGGCAAAAACATAAAAATAAGTCAAGTTGTTAGGACAATCTGAATTATTTTCTAATGTTTAAAATTATAATCCTGGTATAAAGTCAGTGAGATTATTTATTATATTGATAATACAACAAAACATTAATAATTACATTATCAATCAACTATTAATTATATAAGAACCTATAAATATTAATAAATGCTTTCCCATTCAAGGAAACTTTTTACAGAACCCTTGGTATATCCTTTGATTATCTTCTATGATAGCACATATATATTTAAACACCCTATATACACGTGCATAAACATATGTATATGCTATGTTTTTTTGCCTCTGAAATAAAATTTTAATCAAAATAATATATGTCCATGATTTCTAAAATCAAATAGTACAAAATACTTGTAATAAAAAACTATAATCCCCTATTCCAGTGATGGTGAATCTTTTAGAAACCAAGTGCCCAAACTGTAACCAAAAACCCACTTATTTAATGCAAAGTGCCAATACTGCAATTAAACCTGAATACTGAGGTTTTAGTTCAGAAAAAACAACTCATACATTAAAAGAAAAACACAACAGTAGAGCTTTCAATGATACAAACAGTCTGCTGCGGCACTGCATTCCAACCTTTCACAATCTTACATTAGTCTCACTCCTCAAAAGCAACTACTGAAAGTTCTAATATCTTTTTACGTTTTTTTAACTTTTAAAATATCTTATTAGTACATGTTTGCAGTATATGCAGTTTACAATCATCTTGGGGGAGTGGGTACATGTACATACTATAGCTTGTTTCTTTTTTTAATCCTCTTCCCTTCCTCCTCCTAAAATTTCCCATCCCGATTTTCATTCTTATTGATTTTATTAATCTTAGCTCATGTTATAGTAGGATGTTTACATTCATTGAGGTTACTAGGCTCCTGTACATGACATAGCTCTTTTTGGTATTTATCTTCATGATATAATATGCTTCTATCACTTTTAGCAGTTAAATATTAATTTATGGCAAACACTCCTTTATATTCATCCCCATTCCCACACTTTTTCTCTACACACATCATCAAATATCAATATTTTTGTTACATCTATAGTTTATAAGACTAAAACCACATAAATACTGAGTAAAGTTTGATTTCTTGCCTTTTTCTTAGATGCATTAAGAGCTCATTTTTTTCACTTGCAAGATTTTTTTTTTTAACAAATCAATCCTAATCTCTTTTTCATAGCCCCCCCCCCCCCTTCTTATAGGGTTTCTCAACAGTGAAACTACTGTCACTGGAGTCTGGTATTTCTTAGCTGTGTGGAGCTGGCCCTGTGCATTGCAAGATTCTTAGCAGTATCCTAGTTTTCTATTAACTGCATGTGTATACCCCCACTCTTGTCCTGAAAGCCAAACCAAAAATATTTATAAACACTGTCAAATAAATGTTTGGGGGTAGGAGAGGGCAAATCATTCCCAACTGAGATCTGCCTTAAGCATGTCAAATAATCCACCAATTTCCTTTCTTTCTCTTGCTTCACTCTGGCCTGCAAGCTTGTTACACAGATACAACTTTCACTTTGACACTTCTCTTTGCTAACATCCAGAGCTTGTGGATGATGGATTTGGTTCCTTGGATTTCCTGTCTCCTCTTTCTTGGTTAACTACCTTGTTTGCTGAAGCACATCATCTGATTCTAAGAAAGGATTAATGGTAAACAAACATTTTTCTTGATTTTAATATTACTTTATTCTGTCTTCATAGCTGATTGATAGCTCACTGATGTTCTTTTCTTTTTAGATTCTCTAATCTCTCTGTGCTTCATCTTGGATAATTTCTACTGCTATGGCTTCAAATTCACTAATCTTTTATTCTGCAGTGTCCAATCTGCTGTTAATCTCACCTAGTGTTTTTTATTGTTGTTTCTGTTTGTTTAATCAGGATCTTGCTATATTGCTCAGGCTGGCTTGAACTCAATCCTCATGCCTTAGCCACCCAAACAGCTGCATGTACAGGTATGCACCCCTGTGCCCTGCTTCAGATAGTATATTTTTCATTTCAGACAGTGTAGTTTTCATCTATAGAAGTTTTGCTTGTTTTTTGCAGGACTAGGAATTGAACCCAGGACTTTTTCACTAAACTATATTCTAAGTCCTTTAAACATTTTTTTCTTTCTGAGATAGGGCTTCATTAAATCTCTAAATTGCTCAGCCTGAGCTCAAATTTGTAATCTTCTTAGCATATGTGATGTTGAAATGAGCACAAACTTGTGAGCTTCTTGTCTCAGCCTCCCAGAGTGCTGGGATTAGAAGCATGCACTACCACATCTAATTCCTCCTTCTTTTCAACCTGATAATCTCTGGATGTCAGTCACTGTGAATATTACCTTTTTGGGTACTAGATATATATATATATATTTTTGTTGGTACTGGGGATCAAACTCGAGACCTTGCGCTTGTGAGGCAGGCACCAGAACCACTGAGCTAAATCCCCAGCCCCAAGGTACTAGATATTTTTGTACTCTATTCTATAAATATTCTCATGCTTTGTTCTGGGATCCAGATATTTGGAAACATTTTGATCCTTATGGGATTTGCATTTTTATTAATTGTTGGGAGGGTCTGAACCAGTGCTCAGTCTAGGACTATTTCCTACAACTGAGACAGACCCATCCTTAGTACTGCAAGCAATCCCCTTTGAATGTTTTTCCAGACTAAGGGATAGGAATAGGTACCATTTCCGGCCCTGAACACATGAGGCACTGTTCTCAAATTTTTTCAGATGGGTTTTCCTTTGGCTTTGGGTAGTTACTTCACACACAAGTACATTGATCAATGCTCTGCTGAATACTCCACGTAAGGGTGGGAGATGCTCTGCATAGTTCTTTCCTCTTTGGTACCCAGCTGCTTTGGTGTCCTGGGACTCCCAGCTGCATCTCTCAATTCAGAGAGTACACTAGGCTCTAGCTAGGTACACCTTCCCTTTGCATGGTGTGGAAACTCTCAAAATTGTAAGTGAGAGCAATCATGAGGCTCACTTATTTTCATCTCTCAGGGAGCCACTAATCCTCAATGCCTGATGCCTAATTTCATGAAAATCATTATCTCACATATTTTGTTTGGTTGTGTTTTTGTTTTTTTGGTACTGGGGATCGAACTCAGGACCTTGCACCTGCAAGGTAGGTGGCAAAACCACTGAGCTAAATCCCCAGTCCTGGTTGTGTTTTTTTGTTTCAGGAAGAAAATTCTAGTGTCTATTTTCTATTATTTGTTTATTCAGGGTGAAAGTGACAAATGCCTGACTGCCTGTCACTCTGAGGGGGAAAGGGAAGGTGGCAGAGGGAGATTCAAGTTATTACAGAATAACTGTCACTTAATTCCTTCAATTTCAGTACCTCCAGTTTTCATCTCTGTTCTCCCTTTTATCATCTTTTTCCACATTGATTTAATCTAATTGACCCCTCTCTCCACATTATGGAACAGCTTTTTAAATGTCAACTGATTAGATTTCAGGGAGGGGAATGAATTTGATTTCTAGTTCTTAACACAAATTTTAATTCTCTTATGAATTTGGAGACTTATAATCTTCCAGTCTCTCCCCACCCCCTTCTTTTATGGTACTGGGAATTGAACCCAGTGGTAGAGCACTTGCCTAGCATCCACAAGGCCCTGGGTTCAATCCCCAGGACCATGAAAAAAAGTTATTAAGTTGTTAAGTATCTGCAGTTCTCTTTTTCTTATCCTTCAGAGGAGGAAAGAGTCTTTCTGGCACAGGCAATCATCAGGCTATCAAGATTGTAGGGAAAAAACCACTGGCAGAGCCAATCTGCAGAACAAACTGCCCATACCTTAAAATACTGGAAGGGCAGAGTAAAGAAGAGAATAAAGATGGGGAAGGAATGAGGAGGAGAAAAAAGGGATCTGGGAGAATAAAAATCAGCAGATACGTAGGAGGACAAAAGCTAGGGAAAAGGGCCTTGACAGAAGACTTATAATAATTATACCTATGTTGTTTCCTCCTTACAGGCCATTCTACTCCCTAAAAGCACTATGCTACAGTAAAACTCTACATTGCCCTTCAAAGGTTTTATGGGGAGATTTTGCTCCTTGTGAATGTGACTTCATGGTGCAAGAGTCAGAAAGCCTGTCTTGCTTGTGCCACATCAGTTATGCAGCCTTCCAGCTCACCACTGCCCAATGCTGCTAGCTGCAGTCTGAGGGTCAGGAAAACAGGTCCTGAAGCCAGACCATCTGGACCTGACCTCAGCCTGCTAACCACTATCTCTATAAGTCTGGGAAATTCATTTACCTCCCTATAAATAAGAGATGTAGAAAGTTACTGTTAGAAGAACTGAATCAGTCACTTCATACAAAGGGCTTATAATAGTAACTGCCATGTAGTAGGCATTCTATAGGTGCTTAGTTCATACAATTAATTAAAAATATATATAACCATTACTATAAAAATGTTAACCTTCCTCTCTGCCCCTGTAGCCTGTCTCCCTTAAGCTCTTTCTCTTCTGAATTAGGAAGTATTATTTCTTGTCAGTGGCACCTCCCACAAGCCTGTTTGATATTCTGCTACTTGTAGTCAGGATGCTGTGGTTTGGGAACAAGAAAAGTGAAGTCCAAGTGGTAGCTCCCCTCCAAGCCATGCTGCTCCACAATGTTATGCCATGGTCCTGCTGGGCAAGTACCGCCCCATCCAATTTCCTAGGGAAGCTGGTACTTCTCAGAAGGAGGGATAGGAATTAACTCTGTGCCTTACTTCCAAAGGTCTTGCTTACTCTCTCCCTAAGAGGATATCTTCATTTTTAGCATGCCAATGCTGCCCTTGCTGGGTTTTCTCTGCTGGGGCATGTCGAGTTCCTGAGGCTCCTATGAGGAACATGAATGCCTGTGGTAGTGCTGCTAACCTACCAGGCCAACTTCCATAATCTACTCTGGATGACACCTCTTCCATACTTACTCATTAATTCACTTAACAAACATTTACTGGTCATCTCCTCGATATGAGGAATACTGAAATAAAGTCATTATTCTTTTTTTCTTTTCTAAAGATACTGTTCTTGCCACAAAAGCTAACCCTTCTATTTCCTCTAGTACACTATATTTATACAAAATTCTGCACTGTTCCTTTCATAGTTCTTCAATAGTTCTCAAATTATATGAATTTCTGAGGAACAAACAACAGCAACAACAAGGTTGTTTTTCTACTCAAGAAGCTTGCAGTCTAGACATCAGGGCGGGTGGGAAAGTGGAGCATGTGTGACAAATGTGTAGAAACAGGATGATAAAAGTTGTAAGAGGACTGCCTCAAGTGCTAGAGGGGTGGAGAGAAGAATAGTTAACTTAGATTGAGGAACACAGGGAGGAGAATAGAGAGGAGCTCCAAGAAGAGCAGACAAAAGCTAAGTTGGAATTAGCTTTAAACCAGCCTTAAACAGCAACTGTTTTCTATTTCAAGTCTTTTAACTTGCTCCTTGCCTTTGGGAGGTTACTGCCAACTTTTCAGAGTGTTATAATAATGCATATTCACTTTGTTGGCCCTTTACAAAAAACAGCCCACTGGCAGATAAAACCCAAACATACTGCTTTTCACACATACCTCATATTTCATGGTAAAAAATCCATCTCCTCCAATGCCCTCAAGTGCGAAGGCCTGTACAATTGGCCATTTCTCTACCACAAACATATCAAATATCTGCAAGTGACCTAGAAGAATCAAATACAACAACAAATATCAAATGCCATCCTGGATATCATAGTCTAAACCTGATCTAATGTGGTTAGACAGGCATCATTTCTCACAAGTTCACTAAGGTCTCATCCAGCAAAATAAATTTTTTTTTTCAGGAAAATAAATTTTAAACAGATAAAAAGGTTAGCTATCGAAACTAGAAATAAAATATAAAAGCCAAGAAAAATTTAAACCATAAACAAGTTAGCTGCATAACTCAGATTTCTCTAGTGTTTTCACATTTTCCTAAGTAATTAAGTAAAAAATAAGTAAATAGCAGTCTGTTGCAACTGACTTGCATCATTTACTGAGTATAATTATTAACAGACTCAAAGTTGGCTCCTTTCCCTCAAGAAACATAACCAACCAACTTCCTCAGAGGAAAACTTCTAAATCAAAAAATTTCCTTTCTTGTAACGGTAGCTTTACTATGCAAGGCTTTTGCCCTCATAAGTCCTACTAAACTTATTGATTTTTTTTCTGTATTCCACACATCATTTTTCTTTTTTCTTTTTTTTTTTTCCTCATACCAGGGGTTGAACTCAGGACCTTGTGCTTGCCAGGCAGGCACTGGCACCACTGAGCTAAATCCCCAGCCCTTCACACATCATTTTTGAACCTCACCATCAGCATATTTTAAAATGGCTTTCCAAAGTACTATTTTTATTATCCAGAGGTCCCACATCTACACTCTACATAAAAGTGACACAGTCCAAATGTCAACTGTGCTAAATTCCTCATCAATTTTTTTTTTTTTTTTTTGGTACCGGGGATCCAACTCGGGTCCTTGCACTTGTGCAGCAGACGGCAAAACCACTGAGCTAAATCCCCGGCCCTCCTCATCAATTTTTTTACCTGAACACGGGTGGTTTGCTCTTTTGCTGTGGCAACTCCACAGTTATGAACACAAGATTATATAGGAAAATCCCCACATGTTATCCTGCTTGATCCTTTGCCTCAGTGAAAATGAATCATGGGATTTCCTAATTGAATGCTTCCAATGAAAGAAGTTGGGACACCCGAATCACACACCATCCATGCAAGGTTCTTAAATGCCTTGCTGTCAGATACTCACCTTGGGAGCTGTAAGGAATGCCAATTTTACTACAGTCTCTAACCATATCCACAAAGCTCGAAATTTTAAACTCTTCTGCAGCTTCCTCATCTTCATACTAAAGAGAAAAATTGAAAGCAAAATAGGTTCTGATTAGACATTTTCTCTGCACTTCACCAGGGTTGTCCTAAATGGCACTTATAGAGGATTATACCCAAGGTACTGTTTTCATAGTCAATCTATTATATTTTCTGGTTAGAAATACCTGTCATTCCTTTATCTCTTATCATATACAAAAATCAACTCAAAATGGATCAGGAAACCTAAACACAGGAGATCAAACTTGTCTTCCCAAATTCCCCAAATTCTCAACATGGAAAGAAAGGTTCTTGACCAATATTAGACCACAAGTTCCATGAAATACTAAATCTTAAATCCCAGTTTGATATCCAGCCAACCCTTAAAAAGGACCCAAAGGGAAACAGGAACAGATATTAAGAAAACCAAAGCCAGGAATCTCATGAAGCTTGAAAAATTCTCCAAGTGCCGACCCTAGGCACCAATCCCAGAGAGACTGGGCTCAGGCTGGTAAAGACAGCAGGGCAGGAAGGCAGGTTCACAAGCCCACTTCTAAGTATTAATCTGAACCTCCTACCCCCAGTCTCCCACAGGCAAACAATTTATCTGAAAGATACCCTCCATAATGAAATGTGAAACTTTCTTCTTAAAGAACCATTTTTACGTAACCACACTCTGCAATTTGACTTCTTTAGGAGCTTCTCATTATAACCAGCTTTCCTTAAAGAAGTGCCTATTCTATCTTTTCTCCTCACCTCATTTTCAGTCATGCAGTGGAAATGTAGATTTCTCCAGTGTGCCACATACGGTAACAGATGGCAATAGTTGACAGGATTACAGTACAGATGGACACTATCTGATTTAATCAACATAATTACATCTGTAAGAAAAACAAAGTCAAAAGGCAAAATTGTCAAAGGCTTTTCCTTTAGACATTTCCTGCCCAGAAAATTAGTGAGACTATTAAGGGCTAGGGAAGTAGCTCAATGGTAGAGCACTTGTTTAGCATGTGGAAGGAACTGGATTCAATCCATCCCTAGCACTGAAAACACACACACACACACACACTCACACACACACTCCCCCAAATTAAAACCACTTTAGAAACAAAGTAACAAAACTCTAAACTGAAAATTATTTAATCAGGCAATGTGCTTCCAAGTGATTGTAGGACCATTCAAGTGTTGACAGTGAGGATTTTCATGCAATGTTCCCACCACCATGACCCTCTGGTTATGGTAATGCAGGCACAAAACAGGTCAAAAGAACAAGTTTCATCTACTGAAACACAGTGCTTTGCAAAGTTCAACAGAGTAAATCTGTGGTACCAAACACAGCTGTGTACTCCATTGCCCAGATACTGTAAATACTAAATAGAAATTCCATGACCTAAAGCCACTAGGGTAGGAAAAGAGCGCATGAACTATGGCCAAAGGCTGTTCTTCCACAAATATCAGTGTCTAAAGCTCTGGGCCATTGGCTCATGTAGCTTCAGGCAACTTTGGACCTGGACACTGCATGTCAGCTTTGGGAAGGGTTATTGTATGTGGCAATGAACTCTGTACACAGGAAAGGCTGGGAGGAAGGAAGCAGAAGCAAGTGGAAATAGCTTCTGTAAATAGACCAGCAGCTTCCAGATTTAAGGAACATTGATGGGTCAAGTAAACAACACCACGGGTGCAACTAAGCCTAAGTTAACAGAAGAGCAGGAAGTTAACAGAATGGAGCAGGAATATTAAAGCAGTCTGAAAAACGGAAACACAAAATGAAAGCAGTCATACCAAGAAAAGAAAAGTAGAGGCTTTATTCCATGGGTCCTCTGAGATCAGAGCCACCAGGCCTCTTTCTAACAAGATGAAGCTAAAAGTTGCTGGAGAAGGCAGCTGGAGGTGAGAAAGATGCACAGGGGAGAGGAGCAACTGATGTAGCAGGTTTAGGGCAATTCCAGCACAGCAGTACAGTGTGACAGACCACACCATATGAAAACATATTATGCATGTGCAAGGGACTAAGCCCTATGAATACTAACCATAGCTGAGCATACAGCTGGGTGGCCTCCTGAACAAAACTGGCTCTGATGTTGGCTTTTTTTTTTGGTACCGGAGATCAAATTCGGGTCCTTACGCTGCAAGGCAGGTGACGGAACCACTGAGCTACATCCCCGGCCCTAATGTTGGCTTTTTAAGTGGCTTCGATCCATACCTCATCAGCCCAGGAGTTCCAGGGAACACAGGAGGAGCATCCTCCTCATTGTTGACTCTTAAGAAAGTGCTAACTCAAAGGGTAGCAAAGGGTCAGAAGGGGGATGCCTCTCACCTCTCAGCAATGGGCTTCCTGGCCACCAGCTCAAGAGCCCTGTCCTAAATCACTCACAGAACTCCCATTCTCAGGATCTCAATACACTCTGATGTCATCATTATAAACACAAATTTAACAAGAGTACACAGTCAGGAAAAAGAAGGAAATACAACAGACTAAGATGGATATGCAAAAGATTTTTAAAGTTAAAAAAAATAAATAAATAAACCACTCATGTTGGCCTTTCCCCCCCTTAAATGCAGAAGCATGTTTCTCATGATTTTAGCTTTCTAACTATTTGGATTTAAAGATGAATTTATTAATTTGGAAAAAATGTTCATTTACTAAGTACGCATTATGGCATGTAACAGAATAAAGACAAAAATAAGGGAAAAAAGCATATCTCTGAGAATTTAAACTATTTCCTTATTTTCAGTAGTGTAATGTCCTTAGCAACCTTGGCTGCAGTGAAATGTGTAGCTAGTACAAGCTGCCAAGATTCTTTCCAAATGACCAGATGCTGCATAGCATAAGGAAAGAACATTTTAATGAAAATCTGAAACCAAATCAGAATTGAAAAACACTTAATGGAAGGAGTAATTTCAGTTGACTTGCTGTACTTCCTAATAAAAAGGAGAGCTTTGGGGCCAGGCATTTAGCTCAGTGGTTTCGCCGCCTGCTGTGCAAGCACAAGGACCCAAGTTTGATTCCCGGTACCAAAAAAAAAAAAGGAGAGCTTTGATCAATCTATAAAGACGATATAATTTATTTATTTATTTATTTATTTATTTATTTATATATTTTGTTGTTGTTGGTACCGGGGATTGAACTCGGGTCCTTGCACTTGCACAGCAGGCACCGAAACCACTGAGCTAAATCCCCAGCAAGACTATATAATTTATAAAGATAAGATAAAGACTATTAGGACTGTAAAACAAGAATTTTCACACATACTAGCTCAGGGTTTCTCAACTTTGGTACTACTGACAGTACGGATCAGGTAATTATTTGGGGGGGAGGGGTATGAGGGATCAAACTTGCCTGCCTCGCAAGCGGAACCACTGAGCTAAATCCCTGGCCCCATGGTAATTAATTCTTTGTCACTGTGGGTTGTCCCTCACCTTATGAGATGTTCAGCAGCATCCCTGGCCTCTATTCAGTAGATCCCAGTAGCACCCCATCCCATTGTGATATTAAAAAAATTACTTCAGACACTGGCAAATGTATCCCAGGGAACAACACAGGGCCAGCTGAGAACAACTATACTCAAGCAAGATCATTTCACATCAGATGTCTGCTTTCATGTTCTCCCAGCTGCTTCACAAGAGCTATTTTCCTCTTGTCCAGTTTTATTTGCCTATTCCTGTGTCTCCTGACCCATATGGCAGACAAGTCATGATGCTAAGTCTGTGATATCAGAGATAGCTCCTGGGCAACAGCCCACAGCAGCACCAACACAGGCAGAGTGTCTCAGAGCTGAGGAAGGGGGAATGTAAGCAGAAAGCTTGCATTGTAGTCATAGGCATCGCCATGAATTAAAGTCACACAGAAAACAACTCCCAAAGACAGTCAAGACAAAGAGCCTTTGTTCCACAACTCAAGATCCACACACAGCCTTCCTGGTAGGTGCAGCCTGCAGGCTCATCCTGGCATCACAACTGAAAAGTGCTTTCACTGGACATCAGCAAGAATCTGAACCTGCAGCACACAAAGGCAACGAGCAATTATGAGGAAAACCAGTGCCTCACTAAGAAGATACAAAGCCAAACACTGATGCTTACTCTCTTCCCCAAAGCTGATTTACCCAGTAAATATATTCTGAACACTACTTGTTGCTAGTCTCTCATTCAGTGGGTGACCAATAGGAGCATATTAACACATCAACCAAAAAAAATGTTATTTTTCACTATTACAAGGCAAAAATTAGCCATGCATGGGGCCACACACATTCTGGGAGGCTTAGGCAGAAAGACTGCAAGTTTGAACCCACCATGGGTAACTCAGAGATTTAGTGAGATCTTGTCTCTAAGTAAATAAATCAATGGGGGGGGGGATGTCGTTCAATGTGAAGGCCCTAGGTTTAATCTACTGAGACTCTGGACTATTTTAAGTCCGATGTTATTCTACAAGATCATGAAATAAGGATCCACAGAAATAAACCATCCGCTCTTCTATCACATAGAGTTTACCAATATACAATAGACTTACCATCCAGAATTTCTTCAGAAAATCCTGTTTTCTCAAAATCACTGGTATTCTGATTATATAAACCAAACAGAAGATAATTTGCCAGCTCTCTGCAGCCTTCATTGTACCTGCTATCAATTCCTGCAAGACAAAAGTTCTGATCAGCTGTATTGTGACATACAAATGAGCCCCAATAATTTGCCCTGATGCTCAGTTGCGTGTGGTGGTGCACACTTGTAATGCCAGCACTCAAGCCGAGGTAAGAGGATCACCACAAGTTTGAGGCCAGCCTCAACTGCATGGAAAGACGATTTCAAAAAAGCCAAAACAACAACAAAAACAAAAATCTTGATAGCCAAAGTCAGTAGCTCAGACCAATTTTGTGCTAAGGAACTCCGTAAAAAAACTATCTCAGCCATTAGTTGTCCTTCTTGGATTCTAAAATCTATATGGTTGAGAAAATCAAACAGCACAGATTATTGAGGCCATTAATTTCTGAAAGAAATTCTCAAGGATAGAAAAAAACCAAAAAAATGGTCCAAGTCTTTCCATGGCTTATTAATGATCTTAGAAAGAATACTTCCAGTTAGTCTAACAATAGGGATCTGAAACATACTCACCTTTCAAAGAGATTTTTACCAAAACATATGGGACCAAATAAAGGCAAATTCAGTGGTTTGAAAAGAATTCAAAGTCATGAAGAAGAAGACAAGTGGATACAACCACAAACACACATCATTTCGCAAATTATCAGGAGCAAGGCCCAGCACTGTTCTGGATGCTGTCTCTACAAATGGCCCTCCCAAAGCTTATACTTTAGTGAGGCTGGGTCAGAGACAAATAAAAAGGAAGTGAATTGATACAGCCTTTACCACTGCTTCTTAAAGCCTCAGGTATATATACTACCTGGTTCTGGGTGTCTGTGAAGTCCCAGATATATAGTTTTGGGCAAGAAGCAAGTAGCAAGGGCAGGAAGTGGTTGTCTATGAGAGACTAAGAGGAAAGGGCTGGGGCAGAAGGAGCTCCAGGAAAAATAAGGGCATTGTATCTCAGGGTATCTCTCTTATCCAACCTCATTAAAAAAGCAATGGCTATCAGGGGAATGAGAACTAAGGGAAGGATACTAACTCACAGTTTATCACACAATGACACTATTGACAAGAATCCAAGTTGCCCCAGCCCTGGGTCCCACTTTGTAAAAACTACTCACCTAGAATGCAAAGGATCCCGTCAGGTCGCGACTTGCTGCTCTGGTTCAGGATGCTCTGAACCTGGCGGAGTCGGCCGCAGCTGCAAAAAAGAACAGAAAACAGTTCTCTGACAGTTAGAACAGCCCCATGAGAAGAGCAGCACCCTGTGTGAGGGTCCTACAACAAGGCATAAGGAAGAAGAATGACTTTGCTAGTCCTTGTCTGGTGCTAGTATCAGAACCATAAGATGAATTGGAAAGGGGTCCCTTCTCTTCTATCTTCTGGAAAAGACAATGCAGAATTAGCTCAAACTACACTTTTTTTTTTTTTTTTTTTTGAGACTGGGTTTCACTATGCAGCCTGGGCTGGCCTCCAATTTGAGACAATCCTCCTGCCCCAGTCACTTGGCTTGAACTAGTGAGTAACATCTGGATAGCCAGTGGCTCTTGGGCTCAGCAAAGGATGCGGCCAAAGGTCCTCTCCTGGTCAATCATTCCACAGCTGACGCCAAGAACTTCCAATGACTTCTCTTTGTGTGTGTGTGTGTTGGGGGGAGGTGTTACTTAGGGACTGAATCTAGGGCTTTTACATTGAGCTACACCCCCAGTCCTTTTTAAATTTTGAGACAGCATCTTGCTAACTGCCCAGGCTGGACTTAAACTTGCGATCCTCCTGTCTCAGTTTCCCAGAACGCTGGGATTATAGTTGTGCTTCTTTGCACTTGGTTCCACACCAACTTGCCCCTATTATGGTTTTCATAAGTCTCTCAAAAACAAAAACAAAAACAAAAACAAAAAATGAGTTAAAAATAAAAAACTGGCCTAAGGACCTAAACAAAGTTCTAATTCATCCCCACAGCTACCCTGATAAGAGTGCTAGCAGAGGATATTTGCTCCCATTTCTGTGTAGAATTAGTGTTCCTTTAGCCTTAGGCATACCTCCTTGTTCCCACCCGAAGTGTGAGGAGGGTTACTCCCAGACTATACAATTTCTAAGTATCCCTTTCTCTCCATACCAATCCTTTCTCCTTCCTAGCAACTCCAGAAAAGTTCACCCAATTTTCTACCCAAGACTGATCCTTTGATCCTTCTACCTGATCTTCCTTTCATCTCCAGGTCCAAGATCCAGCCCTACTATTCATTCCCCCTAATACTCCTTACATTTAATCCTTTTTTTTTTTTGGTACTGAGGATTGAACTCATGTCCTTGCACTTTCGAGGCAGGTGGCAGAACCACTGAGCTAAATCTCGGGCCCCTAATCCCTAATCCTTTCTTTATAGTCAATACAGTCCTAGCCTTACCACATTATTGTTCAGATCCTCCACCAACCAACCATGCTAACCCTCTATGACTGTGATACTTCATCCCCATCTCTATTTTTCCTCCTACCTGCTTCTGAATCTGCTCCATTATACTGCCCCACACTCATCCAAATAACAATATTTCTAGCCAAAGAACAGTATTTCCTTTCCCTAAATCCCTGGATTCCTTTTCCCCACTGGACTCTTTTTGAAGTTCCCATGGCCGAACTCATTTGCTCCATGACTCAGGGTCATTATCAATGTTGTCCACTGAGACTTTCAAAATGTTCCAAATGATACCAAAACTAGACAAAAGCATTAAAATAAAGAAACCTACAAACCAAAATCCACTATGAACATAAGTATAAATTCCTTAACAATATATTATCAAATAGAGTTAAGCATACAGAAAGAATTATACACCATGATCTAGTGGCATTTATCCCAGGAATACCTAAGCCTAGTTCATTATTCATAAATCAATTCAGCATAATCCATCATCACACAACTATAAAACTCATGCAAGGGCCGGGGATGTAGCTCAGTGGCACTGCACCTGACTGGCAAGTACAAGGTCCTGAGTTTGATCCCTGGTACCAAAAAAAAAAATGTTGTAAGTTTGGGCCAGGGATTTAGCTTGGGGGTGGGGGTGGGGGCGCTGCATCTGCCTTGCAAACGCAGTCCAGAGTTTGATCCCTGGTACTGGAAAAAAAGAAAAAAGAAAAAAAAAAAATCATGGAGAAAATTCATTTGACAAAATTCAATACGTATTCACAATCAAAACACTCAGAAATCTAGGAACAGACTGCTTTCTTTAATTTTATTTATTTATTTATTTATTTACTTTGGTACCAGGGATCGAACGCGGGTCCTTGCGCTTGCGCAGCAGGCGGCAAAACCACTGAGCTAAATCCCCAGCCCTTTAATTTTATTTTTTAAAAATCTAAAAACATCTTCCAAGCAAAAGTTGGAATTATATGTAATAGTGAAAGACAATGTTTTTCTTCTAAGATTAGGAACAAAGAAGTACATCTGCTCTCATCACTCCTATAATTTAACATAATACCAGAAGTTTTACCCAACTGAATGTGATGAGAAGGAAATGAAATACATATAGACTGGAAAGAAAGAAAGAAAACTGTTCCTATTTATGGATGCGGCCTAATTGTAAATAACAGTCTATGTGGGGAATCTCAAGGAATCTAAAAGAAAATTGTAGGGCTGGGGATATAACTTAGTGGTAGAGCATTTGTCTAGCATGTGTGAGTGAGGCCTTGGGTTCAATCCCTAGCACCATTTAAGAAAAAAATCATACCGGAAACCAAAATTAAAAATATAATGCCATTTATAATCTCTTTAGCCGGGTGTGGTGGTGCACACCTATAATTCCAATATTCAGGAGGCTGAGGCAAGAAGACTGCTATGAGTTCAAGGCTAGCCTGAACTACATAAGAGTCTATCTCAAAAAAAATTTGAAAAACCCAACTCTCCAAACATGAAATACAAACTTAATAAACTAATAAAACATGCATGGAATGTACATGCTAAAAATTATAAAAACTGATGAAAGACATTAAAGATGGAGACATACCATGTTTATGGACAGAAGGCCCAACATAGTACAAATATCAATACCCTGATAAAAAAGTTTAACACAATTTATTTCAAAATCCAAATGTTTTTGTAGATGTAGAGAAGATTATTCTAAAATTTATATGGAAAAGCAAAGGAAAGGAACTAAAATACTTAAGTTTTTTTTGTTTTGTTTTTTTTAGAAAAAATGAATCACCCCACCTAAGAGAAAGTAATGAAGAATGAATAGTGTTGGCTGAAAGACACATAGATCAATGGAGCAGAACAGAGTAGCTGGGGCGCTCCAGTGCCCCAAGCGGTTAGCTGGAAGTACTTATATAGAAATGTAGCCAGAAATAGACCCACACAAATAGACCTAAATAATTTTTAACAGACATGCAAAAGCAATTCAAATGGAGGAAGGATGTTTTCAATTATGGTGCTAGAGCAAATGGATATCATAGGCAAAAACATGAACCCAGCCTTATATAAAAAATTAACTCAAAACAGATCATAAATTTAAATCTAAAAATGTAAAACTATACGACTTTTAGAAGAATATAGGAGAAAGTATTTGGGATGTTTGGTGAAAAGTTCTTAAGACTTGACACCAAAAAGTATGATCTATTTTTTAAAAATGATAATTGAAACATCATCTTTATTTATTTATTTATTTTTGGTAGTACTCGTGAATGAACCTAGAGAGAACTGAGCTACATCTTCAGCTTGCGTCATTTATTTATTTAGAGACAAAGTCTCATTAAGTTGCCCAGTCTGGCCCTGAACTTGCAATCCTCATGCTTCAGCCTAAGGACAGCTAAGATTACAAGCATGTGCCACCAGGCCCACTAAATTCACCAAAATTTTAAACTTTTGCTTTATAAAAGACTTTGTTTTTATTTATTCATTTTTATTAGTACATGGTTGTGATACATAATGAATACACTCATCATGGGGAGCTGGTACACAGAAGGTAAAATGGTACAGCTACTATGGAAATAGTATATTTGATATACATATGATATAGTATACGATATATATATGATATAGTAATTCTACTTCTGAGTATAAACCTTTAAGTTTTGAAAGCAGGGGCTCAAAGTGCTACTTGTGTACCCATGTTCATAGCAGTACTATTCACTATAGCAAAAAGGGAAAAAAACCCAAGATGTTCTACAAAATGTAGAACATACACAGAGAGAATATTACTCATTCCTAAAAAGGAAAGCAATTCTGACACATGCTACAATATGGATGAACCTTGAGACACTATACTAAGTGAAGTAAGCCAGCCACAGAAGGGCAAATTCTGTATGATTCCACTTTTATGAGGTACTGTACCTAGAATTGTGAACATTATGAAGAGAGAAAGCAGAATGGTGGTTGTCAAGGGTTAGAGGAAAGAGAGAGTGGGGAGTTACTGCTTAGTAAATACAGAATTTCTGTTTTACAAGATGAAAAGAGATAAGTGCATGAATGGTGGTGATTTAGCCTAACAATGTGAATGTACTGAGTGGCACTAAACTGTACATTTAACACGGCAAATTTTATGTGAACTTGAAAACAATTTTTAAAAATTTAGAACTAAGAAAATGTGTGTGTGTGTGTGTGTGTGTGTGTGTGTGTGTGTGTGTGTTAAGGCCTTGCTATGTACTTCTGGCTGGCCTTAAACTCACAGCACTTCTCCTGCCTCAGCCTCCCAAGTGCTGGGATTACATGCATGCGCCACCAGACAAGGCAAAGTCAGTATTATATGAAACAAAATCAGCAGAAAGGGAAACCTTCATTTAATTTTTTAAAATTGTAAACAGGAAAATATCTGAGACATCTGGGAAAAATGAATATGGAGTGGGGAGTTGATGCTATTGGGGATCTGCTATAATTTTCTTAGGTGAGATAATGTTGTCATGCTTATGTAGTAAAATGTACATTTTCTTAGCAGATGCACAAGGAAGTACATAGGAGTGAAGTATCGTGAGGTCTGCAATTTACTTCAAAAAGGGTAAACATAAAAGAAGAATGAACAAAGAAAAAACATAAAACACATACAGCAACATGTTAAAAATGGCTGAATCTACACCATGGGTTTAATGAGTATTCTCTGAACTATTTATTTTTTCACCATTTCTGTATGGCTTGAATTATGTTCATAACAAAAACTGGGAGCGAGGAAGGAGTCATGTGGGGTAACTTAAGGTTGTAGAAGCACCAGGACAGAAACAGTAAG